TTGTGGGGAGAGCTTTTATCTAAAAGACTTGCAATATCTTTTACAATAGAAGCCTCTTAATTCCAGATTATTCTTTGTCCAGTGATACATTCCAAAAGGGAAACACATTTGTTTGGATATAAACAATAAAGAATGGTGTATGGAAAGTGGTACGTCCCTGTGGACGTTTTCTCACAGGAATGTAATTCTGCACCAACTCTCTTAAGAATTGTGTCACTGCTGCACTTGAGGAGATAACAACAATAACCATTAAAACTAAAGTATTGCCATCTATTGTTGGGCTGTTGTTCCTGTTTTGACCTGTTATGCTCTTTCAAAACCATAGATGGTTTCTTTTCCTTCAACCTTTGTTCTGATCTACTGCCTAAATATTTAAATAGGAAGCATATTGATTAACATAACATGGATGTCCATGTGAGTCCCATTCATGACGCTTATTTATGAAAACATACTTGTTAGCCCAACACTTTAATTTCTCTCCCACCAAGATCTGTTAATTGCTTTATTCCCACTCTCCCACCGATGTAGAAAAGTAAATATGTTGTCCATGCTTATTACTTGTAAAGAACCCATTAAATTATTGCCATCTACGTCCCTTTTTGCAGATATTTCAGGTTTTTGCTCCAGGGGTTTGTTGCTGTTGACCTTGCTCTTTTTGCAAGTATTCTTTCAACAGTCAAATCTCAACTGCATTTCTCAGCAGGGATTTCTCTGTTCATTTTTATAGCTGATCTTCAGTGTGAGACTCCTAACTCTTACTGTTTCTGTTGTTTCTATAGCAACTAGATAGGTGGAGACGCAGCAGCATCGCTTTGCTTCCCAGCTGGTGTTTTGTGCTCTCAGCAAGGGGAGAGTTTGAGGAAAATAGAGAGGGTATTAACTGGGATGTAACTGGCTCAGAAATGTAGTCCTTGTTGAGTTACCTCGCTCTTTACTAAGGAGTTAGCTAATAATTTTAAGCCGGGCTTCTCAAACTTCCTTGAATAAAATTCTCTCCTCTCAGAAAGAGACATGATTTACTCTAAGTATGTGTCAGGTTTTGGTCTCTTAGCTGCTTGGGCCTTCATGTTTTCTTCCACCTAAAATCCCGTTTTCTTCATCACATGAACAGCAGTAAGATTTGTTTCAGGAACTAGGCTGGTGCTTATAACTTGCATGTAGCCTGAACATACATGAGGTACGGGGCTCTTTAATTTCTCCGATTCCCACTTTTTAATCTGATTTTTGCAGCTGTCCAGGAACTATATGATACTAGACTGTAATTCTATCGTGGACTATGAAGTGACTATCTCAGAGTAAAATGTTTTGATACTTAAAATCCTACATATCCAGAGATTAGACTAACACGTTCTCCCTTCTCCAAAAAGCAGAATTTGTTTGCATTCCCTTTAGCAGTCCTCTCACCTCATGGTGGAAACGTTCATTACCTACTTTCCTGAGGATCTCTGATGCCAAATTAATCCCTCTGAAATAACCCAAAGCCTTTCCTCCATATCTGAGCACCTGAAGTTCTGCTACTCTGCCTTGCTGCCGCTCGCTTAGCCAAGGCCCTGAGGAAGCAGCCTTGCTCCGTGAGGGTTGGGTTGCTCTCAGCGTGGCTTCACGTGTATCGTGAAGACTCTGGGGAGGTGAGGAGTTTTACTTTACAGTGTCTAAGCCATTACTATATCAACCAACCACAAAACACGTGACCTATGTTTCAAGCTCCTCTGAAGCTGTTTATTTTTATTAAATAAAAATTCATGGGCACAGGAGCTGGATATTATTTGTCTCGTCTCAGAAAGATAGGTCCCATCAGGTTAGTGTTAACTCTTTGACTGGTTCAGCGTACATACAGTTGAAAATGCTTTCCTAACCAGAACAGCTCTGATAAGGAAGAGGAACTTGGAAAGTTCTTACTTTTTTAGTAGGTGATAATGAAGCAGTATTTTGCTTGTGTGGGAAATAAGCAAGTTCAGGTGTGTTTTCCTTCTGACTTAAGGAACAGGTTTGAATGAAGACTTCTCACCTTGCAGGAAGCTGCTGCAATGCGAGCTGTTATTGAGACAGTGGCCTGCAGACCAGTGGGGATCCTGCAGCCATCAGGATGCCATCCACAATATGCCTGTCATCTCCACATTGGTGGTGGTGCCTCAGGAGAAGCACTTGCTCTTTTGGAAATAAGACAAAGTTTTCAATTGTCTCACACTTTATTCCTTCTCTGTTTTCCCTCTCTCTAACCCCCGTGACTCTCTGAGATTCACAAGAGCTAATGGATATGCAATCTGGTAAGTTTATAAATCAGTGTGCTTCTCTGCTGGCTGCCTGAGCAGCGTTCTGATCCTCAGTGGATTAAATATGAGCACAGATTTAAATTTTAAATGGAACAACATCTCTTCAAAACATTCCGGCTTGCAAATACATAAATGGACAAGTATAGAGCCACTAAGTTGCTTAGGGGTCCGGGGTGTCTTTCTGAGGCTGAGGGAGCTAGGACTGTTCAGCCTCAAGAAGAGAAGGCTCAGGGGGATCTTGCCAATGTGTATACATACCTGATAAGCGGGAGTAAAGAAAACTGAGCCGGACTCTTCTCAGTGCTGTCCAGTGACAGGACAAGAGACAATGGGCATAAATTAAATGGACGAAGAAACCTTTTTTTACTGTGAGGGTGGTCAAACACTAGAAGAGGTTTCACAGAGAGGCTGTGGAGTCTCCATCCCTGGACATGTTTAAAACCCAGCTGGACTAAGGCCTGAGCAATCTACTGTAGTTGACCCTGCTTTGAGCAGGGGGGTTGGACTTGATGATCTCCAGAGCTCCTTTCCAACCTGAACTATTCTGTGAATATTGTGGTTTATGTCAGCAGATAAAATAGTACTTTTTTCTATGAAAAAATTGCTACTTGAAGAATCTTGTAATATTGAAGGTAAAATATGAGTCTTATGAGATGTTTTGCCTGAAGAATCCTGTTGTATCTGCTTAGATTTTACATTTTATCTTAGTACATCTCCTGGTGTTATACAGTTTATTTCTTACAACACAATTCTTGTATAGAAAAAAACTAACCTAGAAATCAGTGCAGTAACTACATTTTTATCAGCTTTGTTCATGTGACAAATAAATGCATTTTATAGCGCCTAAAATCTAATCCTGAATGTAAAGGTCTGTTGAAGTGTTTTTGATTCATACTCAACTCTCAACCAAGGTTGCTAGGCAGGATTTTAGTGAGAATTTTTGACAAGGAAACTGGAATTTTACTGTCTCGGTTGGGACAATTTTAGCTATGTGATTTCTAACAGAGGTAAAGTGTAGTGTGAACTTGCATGCTTCCCTTGCTGCCTGGTTTCTGAATATGCAGAATGGGATTGTTCTGTTCTCCAGAATATTCAGTTCAGGGTAATACATAAATGTAAAACCAGAGTTTGACCAGTTGCCTTGAAGTGTTGATTTCATTATCATTAAATATTGGCTGAGAGGAAGCACCACCTTTATCTTTTCTAGATTTGCTGGTGAGCATTTACTCAAAAATTGATTAAAATAGCTATTGCATTCTCCAAGAAGGGAGTGCATATTCCCTCTTGAAGCGTTCCAAAAATACGTTGGGGAATGAGAAGTCAGGGATGGTGTTGAGAATTATCCTGAGATTAAAAAAGGAGGAGTAAAAGAGGCAGTGGCATCTGGAACAGGGTTGGAAAGAGAGGCTGTGGCTGGAGCCAGGGAAGAAGCAATGTCTAGCACTGGGGGTGAGGTGGGTAGGGAGAAGAGCTTCCTGGGGGGAGGGAGAAAGAATAGGTGAAGTAGTGATTTTGTTTGTTGGTTGGTTTTTGTTTGGGGTTTTTTTTTTGTGTGTGTGTGTGGTTTTGTTGTTTTGTTTGGGTTTTTTTGTTTGTTTGTTTGTTTTTTTTTTTTTTTCCCAAAAAAGCTAAGGATTTGCAATTCTGAGCCAAATTAGTAACCCTAGTTTGAGTCTCATTTCAGGTAAATAGTGCCAACTGTTAGGAACTGAGAAATTAAATGAGATTCTGATGTTGGCTTTCTGGACAGCTCTTTCAGATTCTTGAACAAATCCTGCTTGAACAGATCTCTTCAGGCATTAGGGATTTTAAATATAATTAATGTTCGGATGAACCTTCCAAAAATTCTGCTTTAAAACTTTGTTATGCATCTTTTCATTCAAATCACTCAATGTTTTCAATCTTGTTTACTTCTTTACAGCTGTTAGCACAATAGGGGAAAAGCTTCCAAGGAATGACTATTGATGTCTGAGGGAACCTAGATCCTAATTGCAGAACAATTGCTGTGATGTCATGTGCAGATTTTATATGGTGTTCACAAGCGGCTGGTTACGAACAACTGCAGTTTGCATAAAATGCCCATAAAGGTTTTGTTCTACTTGTAAAGCTGCTGTCTGCACTGTCAAAAGCTTGTGGACGTAGCTGTCTGTGTATACTCCTGTTTTAAATGAATTCTCATAGCATGAAATCAACTTATTTTGTGGGAAAAATGCTTTTGCCAATGTGATTTTTATCATTCATACACTAAAAACAAGCACAGCTCCAAAAATGTAGTTATATATGATGATAACAAAAGCAACTCTCATCTGTGCATTTGCATACCAAGATTTGGCATAATTTTCAATAAGTTATACTAGCAAAAGTAGTTCTTGCCAGATTACTGATGTGTAGCATAAGTGTTAGCCTGGTACAAAATTTTCCTGCAGAAGAAAATCTCACCAATGAACGTGATCATTCTGGTAAAAATGGAAATGCAAATTTAATTAAAGATTGCATTTCTTACTGTGAAATGTCGAAGTACTTTACTGTTTTTCTAATGGTGAAATTGGTAACTAGGGATAAAAGCTAAATGTCAGCAAAACATAAAGGTATGGTAATTTTAGACTTGTAAGGGTATTTGTAGAAATGTTTTAATTATAAAATAAATGTACATATTTTTATTATTTTTGAAGATAATCATCAAAGGCTGGTCAACTAAATATTCTGCCTTTTTTTTTTTTTCCCCAGAAACCAGCAAACATTCTGGTAATGGGTGAAGGTCCCGAAAGAGGAAGAGTCAAAATAGGTAAACATCTTGAGAAAATTTCATTGCACAGCTAAGGAATTACTTAAAAAATTGCATCTTCTAGTGTAAGATAGAAACAAATCTTTATTACTGTTTGAGTGTATGTGTGCACAACATCTAGTTCGATTTTAAATCTCATTCACTGAGTTTACAAGCTTAAGAGATTCCAAACATATTATTAGACATTTGTAAAGCTTGCCAAGGACACCTGGCAAGATAAAAGCATCTGTAAGAAACACGACAGTAATAAGCACATAGAACAATGGCTATGGCCAGGGTTCTTTTGACTTCTACTATGATTAGTTAGTATAACATTGTTACTTATAAATTGTATTTGTTCTTAATTATTTTTGTATAAATAACATCAATGCACATGTTTGTGGAGGTCCAAAGGTTTGCTCTGCCAAAGGCTATTTGGCTTCAAGGTGGGAAACATGTAACTGTGATGGTCTTTATCCAAAATCTAATTACCTGTGCAGATCATAAGTCATGTGGATATAAACTTTTTTTTTTTAATAAAGCATGTGGCAATCATCAAGAAGGAAGTAATATACTGGAACCTCTTTTCTATTCATCGACTTTTGTTGTATTTGAAAATGTTCACCTAACTGTTTTTGATTCATATGCTTGTATTAGTATGGGTAACTGCAAGAAAATTATATTCTGCATTTCATAACTTTGGAGGCAGAAAGATTTAGGTGAAGTTGTGTAAAAGGTAACTTTCAGACTTGGATTAAAATGTGTGGTTTTGAATATACACCCAAATTTTGTACTTTCCCATCTAGCATTTCTTAATGTTACTTATAAGGTTGTTTCTAGAGAGAATTTTTGAGTTATATAAAATGAATGCTTACATTTAAAATACACTTCTGTAACAGTGTACACTCACTGATTTCATTAATTCCCAGTTTAAAACTTTTCTGATTCTGGAGTTCATTCTTGCAAATCAAGTAGGTGGTATACTTTGAAAAATAGTGTAATCTAAACAATCTACACTGCAGTTGTTTTGGTTTTGCATTTTGGGTAAATATATAGCGGTCACAAGGGCTCACAGTTTTGTAAACATATATAAAAATAAAAGAGAAAATGTACATTAGAGACCTACTACTATTGACTTTAATTAACCAGGTTTCTGTTACAGTTCTATTTAAAAAAACAGGCACCTGTGTTATGGAGTTTTACAATATCATGGTGAAAACACTTAAACATCAAATGTCATCCTTCATAGTTTTCTAAGTGAAGTAAATGGAATTTAGCCTTAGATAAATTTGGCCCAGTATTGTTATGAGTAACCTGTTGCTTTCTTAAAAACTGTCTTAGAAACTTTGATTTGTGAGAATGTTCTTTTCTTTTCTCCACCCCCACCTCCCCCAGCTGATATGGGGTTTGCAAGATTGTTCAACTCACCTTTGAAGCCATTGGCAGACTTGGATCCAGTTGTGGTGACATTCTGGTACAGAGCTCCAGAGCTGTTACTTGGAGCCAGACATTACACAAAGGCCATTGGTAAGTTCTGTGTAAGAAAGAGGTTTGCCTTTAAGTTTTGTATAGGAGGGTAGCCTTATAGTAGATATGGTGATGAACTGACCAGCTAGTTTTTTTCCTGAAGTAGCAGCAGATGGAATATGATCCAATCCATAAAAGATTAATCCAGATCAAAACTTTCTGAGGACTATGCTTTTATTTTTCAATATGAGTTAAGGTTAATGTTAGACATTTTAAATGTGTGGTTTGTTTTGGTTTGTTTTTAAAATAAAAATATTCTTTGCATTGGTTTATGTGTGTGTTTGTTTTTTAATATGGGCTCGGAAATTTTGTAATCTTGTAAACCTTCAAAAGGGC